CAGCGTAATTGAAACCGTGCTCTTCCGACATGGGGCAAGATAATCGACAACAAAGGCTGCTGAAGTCAGTTCGACCCGCCCTTCGTTCTTTTCGGCTGGAAGTCCGTTCGGGGAGACACTGGACGTCGATGAAGGTTGACTCGCAGGTAGTTGATATAGAGTGTCGTTTGCCAAACCCGGAGCTCGTGGTGGTTGACCTTGTAACCCGGATAGAGTCTCTTTTATAAATTTGAATTTGCTGTCTTTGTTGCTGGCAGTGAACTTCGGGAGTATCGGGAAGCGGCTTGTCTTGAGGCCAATATGTCGAGCCCTTGGCACAGTTATGTGGCACCGCAGGTTTTGGTGGAGGTTGAGGTACGTTGTCACCGTTGTGGCTCGACGGACTGTTAAGGTGTACCGGCATTGGTTGGATCGGCATCCCGGAGTCAGTATCAATACCAGATAGGATCTCGCGGCCGACTGAAGTGTCTGTCCATTCCATTTTTTCATTCGTATACATATCTCCGGTCAGGGTTGCTGAAGACAAATCATACAGCTGGCCCATTGTAGCCAAGGATGGGAAAGGTTCCGAGACTCCAATATCGTTTGCTGGAGATTCCTTGGAAGATGGTAAGACTGAAATGCCTGGGTAAGCACATTCTCCGTCAACCTCTGTCTTAGGAGTAGCAATGGGTCGATCAATGTTGCTATCATGAGAACCTCGGGGGCTTCTGGTGCCGGGGGAGTACTGCATGCTTTCCATGCTGATAGCAGGGTTCAAGCGGTCGTTTTTCTGCTTGTTCTTCCGGGCTGGAGTGCGGCTCCATAGGTCAGGAGCAAATAGCTTGACGGGCGATTTCTTCCTCTGAGGGGCGGAGTCTTCCTGTAGCCCCAGATCATCTTGACGGTGCTTCAGTTGTCGTAGCTGCCCATTGAGTTCAAGACTGTCTAGATCAAAATTGTATGGGTCTGAGATGGGGAGTTCACAAGTCTTGAAGAATTTGATAAGCTCGGTAACGTGCTCTGATCTCTGAGGTCGACGTGCTGAGCCAGCAGACCGAGGGCTATAGTGAGCAGCGTTCTTGTTTCTTTTGGTGGCTTTCTTTCCTGTCTGGGTTCGACTCGAAGCTGGTCGGGGATAGTTATCCCTTCCAATAGATTCAGCTACCGACAGCCTCGGAGTTTCCCAGGCAGAGAAGCAGAAGCTCTCCTCCGAGGATCTCGAGGGAGTACTTGGACGCAGCATTTTCCCGTTCTTAGGCATGCAGCCGTTTTTGGTCTCTGAACCTGCGATGATATAATGATAGTTATAATATATAATAGCAGGTACTTTGTCACGGAAGAGGCGCTACCTGAGCACCTCCCAACCGGATATGAAACAAAAAGCCACCACGGCTATCTGCCAGGCATTGCACAGAGGCTCGAGCTCAATGTGGTTCAAAATGAAGACATCCCCAAGGGATCAAAGGCTGAATCGAACGAGCTATGAGCAAGGGGGTGAGTCACGTAAGATGTCAAGATACTAGATGGCCACGTCCGAATTCTGGGGAGAAGACAGGCTGAGGATGGTCGTTTAATAGAAAGTTCATTAAACTAGAACGGCCAGTAGATAGGTGACAGGAGGTGAGAACATCCCACAGCTGTGATCTTGAGGGACCGAGTGAAAAGAAAATGGGCAGCACAGCATCAAAAAGGACGAGCAACAGCGGCAAGCTGCATTTTGGGCGTCGAGGGAGACAGGAGACCAAAAAGTCGAAAGCTTCACGTTGAATCTTTATACGAAGACGTGAACCTCTCACTTGGGAAGAAGAGCCAAAAAAAAGCAAGGAAACAGAAAAACAAAGAGCCAGGAAGAAGAGAAGTGATAGCAAAAGCAAAGAAATAGAGCCTTCAAATGTGGACTTGAAGGAATTGAAGACAAGAAGAGAGAGAAAGAGAGCACGCAGTCGAAAAAGGAAATATGAGCCAGACTATGGGATGCAGTCTGAATCCCTTAGGGCCATTTTCCCACACTGATTCACAGAGCTAGCTCCATGAACCCTGTATAAGCTGAAGGGCCTCGACAAATCAAGGCGGAGAAAGGAGGAAAAAGCAAGCCTGCGATTTCGACTGTTAGTTACATGGCACAAGCAGGTGAATTGGATCTATCAACGCCTTCCGGCAAGAGAATCCATTCCAATGGAGTAACCCTTGAACGCAACGCATACACGGCGGGTTTAAGAGTCCACTCCTGTACATACGGGGTAACGGGAGGCCGTCCAGGGTCAGGGGAACAGGAGAGGTACATAGGCACCTCTCTCTCAACATCCAAAGCCAAGTCACAGGGCTGGTCATTCGAGAGAATCTCTTGCTAGCCTGCCTGGCTGCCAGTCCGCTACCAGCTTTCCGGGGAGGTCAAGCCTCAGGTCGAGGATCCATCCTCCACCGCTCGCCTCCCCCCCCCCCCCCCTTCGACCCCCTCGACCCCCCCAAGCGAGACCAGGCACCACCACCGTATATCACAAAGAACCCGGGCGGCGGGATTTTCAGTCGTGCTGGTCCCCCATAAGGACAATCCCCCTGTTTTATGATGGGACGGATAAATAGAAAACAGCTAACTGGTCTCCTGTCCGCGGCCGCGCTGTTGTGCTGCTGGAGACGAAGGTTGGCCGAGTTGGAGCATTTTTCGATGGTGGAAAGTAAAAGTTGCCGCTTTGGGCGTCGCAGGGCTGAGTCAGCCACGACGACGCTGCTCGAGTTCTATCAATTTTGCCTGCGGATGGGAAGACAGATCACATCTCGCTTCCTGTCGAACACGATCGTGCAAGGAAGCCGAGCAGAAGCAGGCGGGCGACCCAAGAGAGATCGGACGCTGGCCTGTCCATGGGACCTGCGATGCTGCTGAGCCAGGCCTTGATTGGCCTCTCTGGCCTCTTTTTTTTGTACACTTAGAGAGGGGGGGCCTGGCAGTGAAGAGTCGAGGTGAAGAAGACGACGACGAACGCTCAGATCTACGCATATGCTCTGCGTTACCCAATGGGATGGATACCATGGCAGGTTAAAATGGCCGTATGCACACATATTTTATTTTTATTTTTTTATCTGCTAACTACCCCCTTTTCTTTGCTTTTCCTTCTCGTCCCTTGTCTTCCTTTTGCGTGTTGTTGTTGTTGTTGACACACGCAGCGTCGTGTCGTACATTCCGACACGATCCAGAGGGTACGAACCAATATTTAGATACCCGTGCAACGCCTCAAAACGGTGCGGCCAGGGGTGAAAGCGCCGGTGGGAGAGATGGGCAGCAGCAAAGTCGAAGCTGTGAAAAAAGACAAATACAGGAGAGAGAGAGAGAGAGAGAAATAAAAAGTGTGAGAGAGAGAAAAAGCAAAGGCCGAGGAAGAGAGAAGCAACGCAGAGAAAGATCACAGAGTACGGCTCCTCTCTCTAGGAAGCACGTTGGCTGTCTTTTTAGCATTGACGACTAGTTACGGAGTCGCTTGCCAGACAATAGGGCCTGGATAGACGAGACGAGTCGAGATGGGGTGGGATTGTTAGTTTGCTGGTACGCGCCAGTCATCTGGATGAGCGCCCATCCCCTGGCTATCAGTGTTCAATTTCCCGCTTCCTGGTTAGTTGAGGTAGACGAGGGAAAATAGTGAAAAAAGGTTCTAGATTATTGAATCTCGCCTGGTTGATGATGGGAGCTGTTGATTCTGAATGTCGATGATATCTGCTTGGACTGCAAGCAGAGTTCAAGGCACAGAAGAAAACATTATACGCTGCATGACCAAGCTTCGTGCAGATTAATATAAATTGATATATTACGGGAGTACTATTATTATAATATGATTATGCTATGCTCATCTTATAACAGAGCGAAACATATGTAAGTTAACTTACTTGACTAAAAAAATAAAAATAAAAATAAAATAAGGGTATTCAAGTCAATAATGCGACTCGACCATTCAGGGAACAGGTATTTTCTTCCAATTCTTTGCTCCATTCCTGTTTGCCTTCTCGATGTCGTCTACCATGATAAACATTCGTCTCTGGCCACAGAAGCCTCCAGGGCTTGCTATCCGCTGGATCGTTTGAAGCGAACCCCCCGGCTGACCGTCTGCGTTACTCTGCCACACTCTCTCCCTCACCTTCTGTCCTGGAAGGTGAGTTCGCCGAGGGTTATGCTCTGGATAAGCCAGCCGGCTGACAAGATACTGCAGGTTTGCAAAGACGCGTTCAAACCGTCTGAAGAACCCCAGCCACTTCCAAGTATTCTGTGAGTAGGCCACTCTAACGTACGGGTTCAAGAAAACACCGGTCCGATTTGCAACATCTGGCCGGCCAAACCGATCTTCCCAATCTGCAAAGATCAAGCAGCACTCGGAAGATTCCCAAAAGGGCTCTGAGTCGTGCCGGAAGCGAGTGACAATGTGGCTTGTCGAGTCAGCCGTTGAAAAGTGCTGGAATACCGATGCCTGGAAGGCCGCCATCCCTCCCCAGCAGCTGCGCACCTCGACTGCGTCGGCGCCCTGGAGGACCTGGTTCCTGCTCCTGGCCCGTCCAACGGGAGCGAACCAGGGGAAGAACATCAGGCCGGTGCCATAGCCCTCGGCATCCCTGACCACGAAGGTGTCGTAGAACATGGCCTTGGAGATAAAGTCGACGGCACAGGCTGCCCGATACTGAGCGTGACCGGCCTGGTCTACATTGGTCGAGAACAGGAGCTGAGCAGCCTCAATGGCCGAGAAGTAGACGTCGTTCAAGAACAGGACCCGGTCGAACTGCATGTTCGCATGACTGAACCCGAACCCGTCCGCTGCTACATGATCGCCAGAGGGCTGGTACGCCGAGTTCAGCGGTTGCAACACCCGGTTGCGGATTCTGGCCAGGTACGCTATGCGCTTTACTCGCTCGCCCCCTGATGGCAGAGTGGTCGTAGGGAGGCCCTCAAGGGGCACATGCTCCCCTGCAACGACTGATGAGTTACCTGTAGCCAGAAATTACCTTAGCCCGTAGCCATTTAGATGCTATACGTTGTTATTTTAGAAGCAGGAAACGAGATGGAATAGATATACAGAGCGCACACGAAGGGGGAACAACGGACATGGTAGCTGTGCAGCAAGCTCTCTGAGGGCGTCTCCTGTCCCCGGCCCGCTGTCGTTCTCGTAGATACTGACAAACACGTTATCCTCTCCCAGGATGTCGACCAGCTCGAGCAGCGAGCGGCCCCAGGGCCCGCGAATCATCTCCTCCTGCACGATATTACTTGCTATGAACACCTTCTGGCCTTCTGGGTTCCCTCGCCCGGGCTGCGTGGAACCGAGGATCCGCTCACGCAGGCCAGCATAGTGCTCTGGCGGCGTCTGATATGGCGGCCACAGCAGCGATTCGGCCACTGATACGACCACGAACAGCCAGGCCAGTAAGCCGACAAGCCGTAACAGGCGGTGGGTTCTCGACAGCCTGGTTCCAGCTCGCCGCGTTGGACAGCAGCCTATGGCAGCGAGCAGATGGTGGCCCGTCTTCTCAGCCCGCCGCAGAGGAAGCGAGTTCAGGCTGCTGGGTGACCGGCCGTGGATGGCTTGCAGAAGCCCGCCTCGGCCGTGACTTGGCTGCTGCTGCTGCTTCTGCTGCTTCTGCTGGCCATGATATGAAAGAAGGCCGACAGCCTCAGCTTCGGCGTCGCAGCGAGCTGGCGATGATGGCCGGGGGAGGTCGACAGGTCCCATTATTGGTTATCGCGCGGCGTTGTAGCTAAGTTATAGATATCACCAATTCAGTTAGTTAATTCACCGTCCGGCGATGGAGAAAAGGCAGCCATCGAACGTCCAACTACAAGCAATGATATCAATAACAACGAGATATAGCAGGCAAACGGCGACTAGACGGGCCTGAGCCTGGTGGCTTGGATGTTTCTGAATGCACAAATAAAAGAAATACAGCCCGTGAAGCTGACGTCAAGTTGATCGAATCCTCCAAGAGCAGCCAATGGCGCAGCACCAGGCGTCGTTACATGTGTATCTGGCCGGCGCAGATCGACCGGGAGGATGAGAAGTCCCCCCTCTTGGCCTGACCGACTCTGACGAGCATCTCGCTCGTATTTTCAGGCCCGTTTGTTGCCCGCTGTTGCTATCAATAGGTCGCTTGTAGACAAGGGGGTGGGATTCTGTATAGGCGGTATAGCGGGAGAGCGGCCGGCTATTGATGCGAGCCAACAGAAACAACCTACACTCACAACGGGCAGACGTTGCCGATGGAGTAGTTACGGAGTACTCCGTATGCAAAGCAGCAATTTAGTAATGCTACGGAGGATACTAACCGTTATTTTTCTCCATAGCAGGGCGTTAGTTAGCGCATGCGGCGGAGTTTCTCTCTGTCCAGTAGCGATAGACAGGGGGTCTTCGCCCTATACGAAGGGCTCCAGCGGCCAACATGCTCTCCTTACAAAAAGACATTGTGGCCAGCTTCAAGGCTGATCGTCGGCTACGGAGTTACTACGGCAAAGACTGGGGCCCGTCTCTTTCAGGACTCAACATCCCAGGACAGAGCTGGTCAGGGAGCAAAGCAGCAGGTTCCTGGGAAATCCGAATTTGAACAGAGACCGCATCCCCGGACCTGCATCCATAGGCATGCACGGTTTTATGCGATGAACTGCGGAGTATCATGTATACAACCTGAAGAACTATACCCAGAAACGCGAATTCCTGCAGGCTCACGTCAGCGTCTTGCATATGAATCGCACATTTCCAGGCTTCGTGATTATCATCAAATCACCGTCTTCACCATCGATTCTGGTTTGTGTGGGAAGAGATGGCCGAGCCAACCAGGCCGGATAACTACTTACGACATCTATAAGATGAGCGTTATAAGGATCTGCAGAGCACAGGATGGTAGCTAAATTGGGACAGTGTGACATTTTAGCTGCATGTTGGGGCCTATATGTCTGTTGTATTAAGCACATTCAACTTGTTCCACTCGTTTGACGGAGAGCTCCATAGCCGCAAAGCCTGCATCTCCGCGTCTACGGAGTACTACTACTACCAGGCAAACCGCCGACAACAGCTTCGGACTAGGACCCTGTCCTATATCTGCTCGAGGTACCAGGTGCTGAGGTTTGCTTTGGCTCTCGCGCATGCAGGGTGCTCGTTGGGGTTGCACAGTGAGTCGCATCCTGTCCGACTCTGACGCCCGTTTCCGTTGCACCATGCCAGAGATGGGCCATCCCAAGAGGCGACGGGCGGCAAAAAGAGGCTGGTAGGAGGCTATTCCGACCAACGGCTTTGAAGAACGTCTCCTCTACGGAAATTGTGTGGCTGTCGATGCGCTCCCAAACCAGGCAGACGTCTATCATCTATCCAAGAGATCTAGAGACCGACGTCACAGGGCAGAAACCTGTCTCGCAGATCGCCCAGATCTAGATACCCAGGCACTTCCGTGCATTTGCCTTCTCACAAATGTGCGCGTGCCTCTCCGATCAATATGCAAGATGGAAGCACTCTAGACGCGTATAGCCGTGGGCGCGTACCAAGCAGACCGTACGTGATGAGTGTAACGACTGCCCGTCACGGCGGATATCTCAAGTTATTCCTCCTATAGAACAGGATATGCCATACTACCATCCTCTCGGATATGATCAAAGCTGCAAAAAAGGGCGACACAGGATCCTCTTTTTTTAAGCATTCTTGCTTTCGCGCCAACAGTATCTATAGAGGTTGCACCTGGCCCCGGCTCATAACTAGAGTGCAGAGGCCAGGGACGGTCTCGATCTGGATGGTTGGAGAGCCGGTTGAGCACGAGAAAGGGTGTACACGGACTGGATGAGGGTACACTGTTCGTCCCCTGCGGCCGGCTGACTGCAGAATCTCGTGCAGGAGAAGAGATTTTCCTTCCAGCACCCTTCCACCATTCACACATCTTGCATACAATGCGTCATTGGTTATGCACCTAGCTATCCTTGCAAGAGGCAAGAGCTCCAAGGAAGAGTCATGCAGAAGCAAAAGGCTCGGTGGAGGCTTCGTGCAGCTCGGCTGCATTGCCTGGGTAAGAGGGATGAGCGAAAAGGCCTGTACCTGCGCATTATGCCTACATCCTTCTTCTGCAGGATATGTTTAACGAATAAAGGGTTAAGAGACTTGGAAGCTGGATCAGTATCAGGATCACATCACGCTTCAATCTTTATGGGTGCGTTTGTTTAATTGCCATACACACCAACTCCCCGTTTCATCACCTACGTGTTTTTGATAAGGAATCTACTATACGCCGAAAGGCATGGTCTGTCAGCCATCTACAGTTCAGAAGAGCGCTTACACACGCACACCCCTACGCCCCGAACACTTGCGCACAGTGCCTCCCTTGCGTATTCTGTGGGACATGAAGCAGCGACCTATCACTGTGGGAGCTCACAGCTCCTCCTGCGGTTTCCCTATTTGGATAGTAGACCTTCAAGAGTTGTTCGTCCATAGACAGCTAGAGGCAGGGAATCAGAATGAGACGCAAAGCAAAGGGGTTGCAAACCGGACGGTGCACGGCTGGCTGTATACACAGGCCACACAGGCCACAGGCCCTTCAAGCAGTGTTCAGGAACAGGTCTCGCGCCGAGTACCAACAAGACGGCTGAACGGCGGTTGATTGGTAGAAGGATCTAGAATTTCAATACCATCATCGGCCTGAAAATGTGAAAGAGACAAAGCTCTGTCCCTCAATGCGACAAAAAGCGAAGAGGCTTATGCTCGTCATGTAAGGGCGGGTAACCTGAAGAATCTTCACTGTACCCGGAAAAACCCAACCACTGTGTCTTCGGGTCAGGCACAGAGAAAGCTGCGTCACTGCTGTGAATGTGCGCGCCGTCAATAATATCACAGTATAAGGCGGCGGATGCAAGGATAACTAGCTAGCGAGAAGAGAAAAGAGTTCTAGGAATACAATGCAAGAATGGGAAAGATAAGAAGTTATTGCACGAGGAAAAAAAGTCATCCTCGATACTTCAGCGGTTTCGTGAGTTATTTCTTCTTTCACACTACTATGTGCATGTCTGTCTTGTTACTTTTTTTTTTTACCTGCGTTCTGGACGAATAAAGACGTCTGCAGGCTTCTTTTTGCGCATTGGAGGAGGAGGTCGTCTGTCGCCTTTTGGCCTCATGGGAGGACCGCTGGTAGAGTCACCAACCTACGATGAATGTATTAGATTGTCTGTTCCCCCTTATTTTTATGAGCGTGAAAAAAAAGGATTCTTCTAAGTCCCCGTTTTATAGAGCGGTGTAGATCTATATATGGTAGACGTTGAGTGACTTACCTTATTGGCCGCCGGAGGAGGCTGTTCGGTAGAAATTGGGCGACTCTCGCGGCTATCTCGCGATGGTATTACAAGGTCCTAGGAGGAGAAAGTGATGTCAGTAGCTGTCAGTTAGTTACCGGAATCTTGCAGACGGGTCACTTAGCATACGCTTGGGGGCGGCGCAACGCTGTGAGGATCCGCTTTTCGTCCTCTCGGGCCTTTTGGCAGGCTTACAGCTGGTGTCTGTGCTGCGGCGGAGGTGCTGCCGTCTTGTTTCTTTCCCTTGGAATCCTTCGGAGGAGTCGAAGATGCAGTGCTCTGGTCAAGTCGCATTACCTTTGGGTCACTCGAAGCCTGGGGATTGCCCAAATCAGATCGTTTCCTCTTCCCATGGCCAATACTATGTTGAGGGGCCATGTTCTCAGCTGAAGGTTTCTTTCCAGGAACCTGTATTAGTGGTATTTTCGGGTCGTGAGCCGCAATGGCCTTCTGCTTCTGCCTTTCTATTCTCGCTTGCTGCATGTTCTTGTGATGGGCTTCTTCTTTGATGATTTTATTCTTTTCCCATTTGGGTAGCACCGTTGTGGACTTGCAGTCATTTGCAAGATGGCCGGTTTCTCCGCATTGAACGCAGCGTTCAGCTTTGCAATCCCGAATTGAATGCGTCTCATCTCCGCATCTTCGACAAGTGCCCTGACAGGCTATCTTGGCATCGATATTGTCACAATTATGTGTCATATGTTGATGGCTTCCGCAATATCCGCACACAGCCAAGTCATTTAGCCCAGACTTACCCCCGGAAGGGCCATCCGGAAGGCATGGGATGGGCGTGCCCACTGCACTACCTGAGGGCAGTTCGCTGGGCAATGATTCGGCGGCGGACTGGGGATTTGACAGTCTGGAAGGCGGCCTAGAGTTGCTGCTTCCAGCCATAGATGAACCTGGCCTTGATGAAGGAGTTGGGATATTGCCAACTTCTGCAGGAGCATCTACCATTTCGACGTTATTTAATTCCATATCCAGGCTGATTTGAGGTTTCTGCAGGATTCGTAAGATGTCTCCCTCAGTATAAAGCTGGCGTTCTCGAGCATCATGGATCAACGCCCTCCAAAATTCACCTCGGACAAGAGATTGAGAATTTCCAAGAACCCAAAGCGACGACTTGGCTCGTGTCAATCCAACATTCATTCGACGAATATCGGACAAAAACCCTATTCCTCGGTCAGATGCTCGGACACAAGAAAATATGATAACCTCGCACTCCCTTCCTTGGAATGCGTCCGTGGTATTAAACTCAACAGCGGTGAATATTGAACTGCCATATTTAGCAGCAAACCGACTCTTGAGCTCCCTCAGCTGGCCTTTGTAAGGCGTGATTATGCCAATCTTCCCCGCAAAATCATAATTTCTATAGTCAGCCACAAGCCGTTCGTAGAGGCGCATTGCTACTGTAAG